AATAACTCCCAGCTCCTTCCTCCATTGAGACCATACACTAGCAGGGGCGAAAGTCAAACAAGCCAGGTGCTTTCAGATAACGGAGACAAATACCAGTCAATGAGAGATATTTCCTTATCTCTGGACTCTAACCCCACCTTCCTCTGCTCACACTCTGGACACTCACTGTCCAGGAATAACCCAGCGGCCATTTTCCCCTTTGCAAAGCCAGACGCAGTCAAGTTCTCCAGTTTCTACCTGCCTGCAATTCCTGGGTCAGCTGCTCGTTTCATGAGCAGTCACATGTTCCACAAATGTTGATTGGGCATCAACTGTTTCCTCAGGATGAGGCTCTGTCAGGGCAGAAGAAAAGGGTAAAAGCAAGGACCTAGAGAACATGCAAGAAGGTGCTTCTTACAAGGCTGCCATTACACAAGGCAAGCCCAAAGTCAGCGGCATAGGCAGAATCACTGGGGAAACTGGCGACTGAATCAGGGTGGAGAAGGCAGGGCTGAGCGTTGGTATTTTTTTAAAGCACTGCACGTAATTCTCATGTGTACCCAGGATGGAGAGCCAGGGGCCACGTGGAAGTGAAGCATGTGTTCCCCTACGTTTATATGAAGGTTTTCTTAAAAAAAAAAAAAAATTATTAGGCCTTCCTGGTGGCACAAGGGGTTAAGATGCAACCTATGAAGCTATCCACAACCACTGCAGCAGGAGTTCGATCCCCAGCCCGTCATGGGGCAACCCACATGGTGCAGCAGACCTCTCCTGCCTCACCTGCTGGTCCCCGCAGCAGTGTACTTCAATCTGCCTGTTTTGTTACCCACTCTGTCTCTGGTGAATCCTCTCACACCCCACACCTCTGGCCTGTAGCCCAGTTCTTGTATTAAAAAATAAATAAATAAATGAATGAATGAATGAATAAATAAATAAATATTTATTTATTTATACATATAGGAACTGGGGTACAGGCCAGAGGTGCGGGAGGGTAAGAAGATTCACCTGAGACAGAGTGGGGAGCAGAACAGGCAGACCGACTGAAAACACCGCTGAAGGGAGCAGCAGGCGAGACAGGAGAGGTCTGCAGCACCATGTGGGTATCTCCCTGGCCGGCTGCGGGCAGCTTCAAAGTGCTGCTCTCAACCCCTTTAACCACCATGAAGGCCCTCTATGAAGATTTTCCAAGCACCGTGCCTGTGCTGCCCACTTTTACCAGCCCAGGAGTGAAGATGGCTGTTATGTTTTTAAGTGGTTTGTGGAAAATATCAAAACAGGAATAATAGTTTGTGACTATTATATGAAATTAATAATAATAATATTAAGTGAAAATTATATAAAATTCTAATGTAAGCTCCCATCAATAAAGTTTCAGGGCCTCTCATGGCACAGGGGTTGAAGTCTCAGTGCTATCAGGCTATCTCCATCCACTGAGACCTGAGTTCCATGCCCGGCCGGGCTGCTGACCCACATGGTGTACTCCCTCAGTAGTGTATTTCAGTAGATCTGCCTGTTCTGCTCCCCACACTGTCTCTGGTGAATCCTCTCACAGCCCACCCCCCACCACGCATCTCTGGCCTACATCCCAGCTTTTGCATGCATGCATGCATGCATGCATAAATAAATAAATAAATAAATACATAAATAAATCTTTTTTAAAACAATAAAGTTTCACTGGAACACAGCTCCTTTGCTTACATTCTGTCGATAGTGGATTTTGTGCTTCAAGGGCAGAGTTAGATAGCTGGCACGGAGGCCAGCTCTTATGTACATAAGCAGAAAATATTTGCTACCTGGAACTTTACAGAAAAAGATCTGTTGATCCCAGTTCGAAGGGAATGAATTTTGGGGAGCTCAATATACCGGGGTCCTCTTCCAAAAATATACCTGCTGAAAGGTTCCAGCTGTCAGGGGCTCGAGTGTGCTAGACGACCTTCTTTGCCACCTCCTGTCACAATGGCCCTTCTCCCACTTTCAGAAGGAAGGGAGGCCTCGCACCAGCCCCAAGGGTATAAAAACCTGCAGGGCACTAGACGAAGGAACAGGCCCCAATACTGGTTAGTGTGAGCAGGGTTCTGATGAGAGGCTAACATTTTCCTTTCCAACTCAGGTGAGTTCCACATACTGCCTTGCCAAAACTGAAGGAGGACCCAATCAAGTGTTCAACTCCCACATCATTAAAAATATTTGGTCTAGAGGCCTTTCCGGTGGCGCAGCGGTTGAGCGCTGGGTTGCGAAGCTACCCGCAGCCTCTGCAGTGCCGGTTCGATCCCCGGCTGCTCCCCGGCCACCGGAGGAGGGTCCCACATGGCGCGCAGACCTCTCCTGCCGCCCGCTGCTCCCCTCAGCAGTGTACTTCGGTCCTTCTGCCTGCTCTGCTCCCCGCTCTGGCTCTGGTGAATTCTCTCACCTTCCCGCGCTTCTGACTGTACCCAGTGCTTGTACAAAATAAAATAAATAAATAAATCTTTTAAAAAAATGTTTAAAAAAAAAATATTTGGTCTAAGAAATTGAGTGACATAGTTATGATAAAACTAGTGCCATTATTATTTGTGTAAATAAGGTTTTTTAAGGCTACATCTAAAATATTTTAAAATCCTGACTGCAGTCTCATTCGATAGCTAAACGGCATTTGCCCCAGACACAGAAACTGATCAGGAGAAACAAAATAATTCATTTCCATTAAGAGGTGAATTTAACAGTTACTTATTAAAAACTTGTATTACTTTCCATTGTTTCCATCAATCATGTACTAATAATTGGACTTATGAAAGGAGGAACCTGATTTCTTACTGGCTGCTGGCCAGAGGCCCTTCTCAGTTCCTGATTAGTTAGGACACTGCCCGAGGCAGTTCACAGCAGCCCAGCAGGAGGCTGAACAGAGGGAAGAAATTTGGGGTGCCTAATCTTACAAGTAACATCCCATCACTTTTGGCTTGTTCTATTCATTTTTATTGTTGTAAGTGAGTCACTGGGCCCAACCCACACGCAAGAGGCGGACACTAGTTTTAGTACAACCATGTTACTCAGTTCCTTGAATCCCTTCTCGTACAAAAGGAAGTGACGATCAGGAGGTGTGCTGGTGGGGTGCCATCTTGGGGTGCCCTCTTAGACGATACTTGTGACTAGTGTCAAATTTTAGTAACGCTTATATCCTCCTACATCTGCTTAAATTTGAAATGACAAATTTCAGATGGCATCTTAAAAATGCATGAGAGTTTTCCAAAATCTTTCAGAAACAAGCAAAAATGTTTGAAGGCCACTACGAGGCTTTCAATTTAGCTGGGTCTAAAGGTGGGGGGGGTCCTCCCTGGTGGTGCAAGGGGTTAAGCACCACACTATGGAGCAATCCACAGCCTCTGCAGCACGAGTTCTATCCCCCGCCAGGGAGAAACCACATGGCACAGCAGACCTCTCCTGTCTCGCCCGCTGCTCCCCTCAGCAGTGTACTTCAGTCAGTCTGCCTGTTCTGCTCCCCACTCTGTCTCGGGTGAATCCTCTCACTTCCCCACACCTCTGGCCTGTACCCCAGCTCTTGTATGCATAAATAAATACATCTTTATTTTCAAAAAAGACAGCAGGGGTTCACGGAGATGGTGGCCAGAGATCTGGCAGCAGCGAGAAAAGGGCTGCAGGTGCCTGGGACCATGAGGAGACCCACAGCCCAAATTGGGAGCTCTGAGGGAGGTGGACAGAAAACGGCTGCAAAAGTGAAGGTTGTCGAGATTTCCATGGAGCCAAAGGTCAAGCAGAGGCATTTAGACTCGATGGGGACCCAGGAAATGCAGACGATGTTGGGTTTAGGATGAAGAGGATGGAGAAAGGCCTGTGTCGGGAGCATGCAGGGTGATGCAGGGGAGGGCGGAGGGTCGGAACCAGGACCCAGGCCAGGAGGGCGCGGCCAGCCGGGAACGTCGCCAGAGGAGAGGACGCGGACAGCGCGTTCCCGAGGCTGAGCGGCCAGCACGGGAGACTAGTTCGCTGTAATTCCCTCAAGACGGCAGGCGCGGACTTTCCCAAGTCTCTCGGGAAAAACGGCAGCCTTGGACGCTGCGGGGAACCGAATGGTACAAGATCACGTGTCTGCCCCCCCCCCGGAATTCAGTCTCCTCCAGATATGTGGGAAATGGCTGCTCCCACTTCCTCCCCCCACCCCGAACCCCACAAAGAAATGCTGAGAGCCCCGAATGTCCCAGTCTCAAGAAAGAAAGAAAAACAGGGAATAGCAAACGGGGGGGGGGGGGAACTGGGGTGCAGCGGGGGAGGGGGTGCAGAGGGGGAAGGGGGAGGGGGTGCAGAGGGGGTACAAAGGGGAAGGGGAGCAGAGGGGGAGGGGTGCAGAGGGGAGGGGGTGCAGCGGGGAAGGGGTGCAGCGGGAGAGGGGGTGCAAAGGGAGAGGGGGTGCAGAGGGGGAGGGGGTGCCGCGGGAAGGTGGGTGCCGCGGGGGAGGTGGGTGCTACGGGAGAGGGGAGGGGGGCGGCGGGAGCAGAGCACGACCCGGAGTGAAAAGGGGGAAGCGGCTCAAAGGGGCCCGCGCCTAGGAGGCGCTCCTCAGGCTCGGGTTGAGATCTGAACTCCACTGAGCGACAAGAAAAAGAAAAGTGGGAACAGGGGCGTCTCAGCGCGAACAGGGAAGGAATAAACTCCAGCTGCGCGGTGTGACCGTCCGCGGGGAGAGGCCTCTGCCCCCGCGGGGCTGGAGAGGCGGCGGGCAGCGCGCCCCGCGGCTCGGGCGGGCCGGGCTGGAGGCCCCGGGAGGCGCGGGGCGCGCGGGGCGCCGGGGGGCGCGGGGCGCCGGGGAGCGGGGGGCGGCCGCACCTGGGCGCGCGGGCGGGGGCGGGGGCGGGGCGGGCCGGGGAAGGCCGCGCCCCGCCGAGCCCGCCCCGGACCCGCCTCCCGCCGGGCTGGAAGCCGGAAGCCGGCGCGGGAGCGACCTGGGCCCGCGCGCGGAGGGGAGGCCCCGGGCGTCCCTCGCTGCGCCCCCAGCCCCGGCCGGAGCCGTCGGCGACGGTGCCGCGACCATGGGGGCCCCGTGCCGCGGGCCTCCGGCTGCCCCCGGGGCGCGGCTGCTGCTGCTGCTGCTGCTGCTCCTGAGGGAGCCGACCCTGGCCCGCGGCTCCCTGCGGCTCCTGGACCACCCGGCGCCCGTCTGCGCCCAGCCGGTGAGACCCGACGGGCCCCGAGGATGCTGCGGGGCCGGGCCGGGGCCGGCCGGGGGCGGGGGCGGGCGCGGGCGCCGGGAGAGTAGATGCCCCGCGCTGGGCAAGTTGGGGGGCTCAGGGGGGCTCCGCGACTGGGGCAGGCGGCGCAGGAGGCTGGAGACCCCGGGGCGCCGGGAGCGCGGCGGGGGCCGGGGAGGAGAGGGCGTCTGAGGAAAGGATCGCGGGGCGCGCCTTGCACAACCTGAGCTGGCGTCCTGGGCGGGCGCGAGGCCGGGGTGACACCTCGGCGCGCCCCACGGGGGGAGGACGCCGCGCGCGGCCGGCGGGGGCGGGGTGAGGCTGCTTAGAAATGGGGGGCGGGGTGGGGGGGAGACTTCGGCAGAGTCGCCACCAGACCCGACCAGCCTCTACCCGGTGCGCCCCGCAACCCCCCTGCTGTGTCCAGCCCGGCCAGGCAGGCGCTGCGGAGGCTGGTCCAGACCCCAGAAGCTTCCCCTCGAAGGAGTCCCCCAAATCCGCCGCAGCCGGGCTGGAGGGCCGCTGTGAGAAAGGTGGGGGCCGGGACGGGTATCAGCCCCCTCTCCCGCCCCCCACCTGCCCCCGGGCCCCCGCGGCTGTGGGGCTGTGCTCCTGAGTGGGGTGGCCTGCGGGGCCGAGGGGCTGCAGCGGGAAACACGCCCTGTGATCCCCCAGATTCAGTTGGGTGGTGTCCAGCAGCTCGGAGACACCTCCCCGGGGTGGGGGGGCAAAGCCTAAGATGAAAACGGGGCCCCTCCAACTCCCCCAGCACTGTGGGGCTGGGATAATCGCAGGTTTTTTAATCTGTGGGGTCACACCCCCAGCTGCGCCCACAGGACGCGCACACCCACCGTCCCCTAGAGGCCTGGGGAGGACTCTCTGGAGGGGAGACCGAAGGAACAGCAAAGGGCTTCTGGCCTCCCCTGCCCTCCCTTCGAGCTCCCAGATTCTCGGCCCTCCTCACACCACCCGAGAGCCTGAAGGATAGCGCTGAGCATCTGAGTCAGAGGATATGAAACAGCCTAAGAAGAGAGCTCTTCAGCTCATTTTGTGACAGATTTACCAAAAGAGGGTGGAGAGTGAGTGAGTAGCAGCAGGGTTGTTTTCTTCAAGTGAGTGAGTGGTGTTGGGAAATGCCCTGTGATTCCCGCTAGGGCCCGCGTGCTCTGCAGCGCCTTCCTGCAGACTCGGCCTGGAAGTTTTCTTCCCTTGGGAGTCACTGCTCATTTTTCTGACAGCGATATGCCAGCTGCCTGCAAAATCCGGGGTACTGTTGCTCAGAGCTGAAACTCGAAAGATTTAACTCCTGAGACCTGGTGTCCAGGGGCTTGAATCATCTAGGAGGGGGGAAGGGGAAGAAGACATTTGGGCTGCCCAGAAAGTTTGTGAGAACCTTGAAGGCAGAGGCTGGCAGAGCATTCCAGGTGGTGGTGAGGGCTGAGGCCTTGCAGGGAGGGTAAGAGTGTGTCTAGAGTGGAAGGTCTGCCTGCCAGGAAAGTGAAAAAAGAAGCTAAAAGGGAGACAAGAGGCCACCAAGGCATGAAAGCTGGCCTGAAAGTTTTTTTTTTTTTTTTTTTATGGAGGCATGTTTATTTATTTGTTTGTTTGTTTATTTGTTTGTTTTGTTTATACATGCACTGGGTACAGCACGGGAGGGTGAGAGAATTCACCAGAGCCAGAGCGGGGAGCAGAGCAGGCAGAAGGAGCGAAGTACACTGCTGAGGGGAGCAGCGGGCGTCAGGAGAGGTCTGCGCGCCATGTGGGACCCTCCTCCGGTGGCCGGGGAGCAGCCGGGGATCGAACCGGCGCTGCAGAGGCCACGGGCAGCTTCGCAACCCAGCGCTCAACCGCTGCGCCACCGGGGAGGCTGGCCTGAAAGTTTTTGACTTCAGTTGCTTGGTGGGAAACTATGGAGAAGTCAGGGCAGGGCTGTGGTGTGGCTCTGGAGAGGATGGAGAGGGAGCTGGCTGGCCATGGTTGTCTGCCCTCCCCTGCTTTCCCTGCTCTCCCACAAGTTTCCTTCCTCCCCCTTATCTATGTACAACTGGTCCCAGACAGCTTAGCCCCATGGACCAACAGCTTCCCTGCTTCATTGACTTGTCCCTTTAACAGGAAGCCACACCCTCAAATTTCCCTCCCTCCACTGATATTTTAGCAAGTGCAACACTGAGGGAGAGGACTTGCACTTGGCCTACAGGCCCCGATTTGTGTCCAGACTCCACCATTCACAATCTGCCGCCTGTGCGGTGCAGGCTGCCTGTGAGGTGCAGGCTGCCTGTGACTAGGTGTCCGCATTCCCAAGTGAAAGGGCTGGGGGGAGCCCTCCAAGGTGGACCTGTAGCACTTTCCAGAATCTAAATGTCTATCCAAAGTCCCACCAGAGTCACTCCCACTGATTCTAAGACAGAGAAGAGCCTTCCGCCTGCAGACCTGACCTGCTGCTGGCCCAGGGCTGCAAGCTCAGGATGTGGGGGCTCGACAAAGGTTTGTGGAGCGAAGATTTAAGGAGTGAGTGAGTGTTTGAAGGAGTGGAAAGCAATTGCTTGGAAATATCTGAGCAATGATAAACTGACACCAGACATAGCACTGAGACTCTGAGGTGCTTGGATTTAGCGCCTCAAAACCCGGATGACCCAGTTGCCTATAGAAATTGATAGTGGAGAATCTGTACATAATTGCAGGGCCCTGGGCAGTCTTCCGCCTGGCCCTTCCCTGGCCAGGGCTGCGCACTGCTTTGCCGCAACGGCCAGCGCACCAGAAAGCATGTCAGCAAAGGCACCGGCTAAGAGTTAACCAGCGTTAGTGTTAACACACAATTTTCTAGCCAGGATGTGCCTCACGTTACCCATTCTTTCTCCTCTTGTGCACTTGTGGTTTTGACTTGTGGTCGGCAACCTGTTTGGTTTAACCCATATCTTCTAGTTGCTAGAGGCTGTTTTCAGCCATGCCATTTTTGGGGTTGCACAATATCCTTGCCTGGCACAGGCATTTGGGCAGGCAGGGTGGGGTCACTGTGCATCACAGAGCTGCAAAGTTAATAATGAATTCCTTGGCCACAAACCTGATGCCTCACGGCCTCGCCCACTGCTTTTGGCAAGCAAGGCTTCCTTAACATCAAACAGCATCCACCAAACAGGAGCCCCGGCTTCTCCCTCAGCCGAGGGCTCAGCTGTCCACCTGTAGGCACGAAACCCCTCCCATTTTCAGCCCCTATCTTGACCATTACTCCTGGTCAATAGATTTTTATGCAACCAATTCCCTAATTAATGCCTGCCTAATGTTCCATAGTAAGTAGCGTTCTCTTCAACCTTTTCTGTTTTGATGGACATTGAGATTTAAACTGGATCTCAATTTACTTAGCCATTCCCTATTAATGGGCATTCAGTACCACAGAAAAAGAGGAAATGTTACCCATGTTCTAAAGGAAATAAGCTTAATTCTAAAATTTGATAAATCACATATACTCTGTATATGAACCAATCTCACTTATGATTCAAACAAATTGATATAGAATAGTAGGAAAAAATAATATACCATTGGTCCGTCATCAGCAAATCATCAACATAATTTATTACACCAATAAAGGAGAAAATCTAAAAAGTTATGTTAATAAATGCTGGAGAGGTAGTACTAAAAAGAAAAAAATTTAACGATTTTATTTATTTTTGCTTAGAAGAGCTAGGGTATAGGCCAGAGGTGGGGGGGGGTGGAGTGGGTGGGATGAGAGGATTCACCAGGAGACAGAGTGGGGAACAGAACAGGCAGGTCTACTGAAATACACTGCTGTGGGGAGCAGCAGGCGCGGCAGGAGAGGTCTGCTGCGCCATATGGGTAGCTCCCTGGTCCGGGATCGAACTCAGGCCTTAATGGTGATAGCTCTGAGACTTAACCCCTAGGCCACCAGGATGGCCCTAGAAAGAAAATTCTTATGTACGATGACAATCAAAAACGTAGGCCAGCAGCCTAGTTAAACCACCAAGCTATTTCCATCAACCACAGGAATTAGAGGAACTACCCGCCAGCGTCATGTTAATCACCTGATTGCATTTTCAAACCCTTGCATCTTTCTCTTGGTCTGCATGAAGACAGGTGTCTTCTTGCATCATCTTGCAATGGCTTTTGAGTACCTACCAGTGGCCAATAGGGAGTCACCCAAAACAGGTATCTGTTTGCCTTTTCTGGAAGAGTCCCCACCTCAAGGACACCATGACCCAGTCCTGGAAGTTTTAAGTAGGAGAAGAATGAGCAGGTTCATGGGAATGAAGCTCTTGCCCTTTCAGGATCTGAAGTGATGCTCCTTCGGGTGAGCAGAGGCAGCTAGATGAGTTTTGTTGTTGAACACTTGATGGCAGAGCTGTGATGACCCCAATCACCAGGAGCTAAATGAGACACGAAAAGTCTAGACCCCAGGAACTTAAGCATTAGTGTCCTAGAAAGGTAGGCTGTAGATGAACAGCACCCTGAGAATTGATCCTGGGGCATGCTTAAGGATATTATCCCCTCACCCACTTTGTGAGTGAACCCCGGGGGCACAGCGTCCACTCCCTCCTGTTCCTTAGCCTGCCTCTGCTCTGCCTGCAGACTATGCAGGTGCCGACCCTGTTGTCTTATCACACACAGACACCAAACCGCTCTGCCATCCTTAAAATTGTATTTCTGGCCAGCTTCAACCTCTGACTTTCAGCCCCGCTCTCCCTCCCTGCTGGAGACATTAAGTCTGAGTTCTTTTTTTTTTTTTAAGATGTATTTATTTATGCATACAAGAACTGGGGTACAGGCCAGAGATGCAGTGAGCGGTGGGGTGGTGAGAGGATTCACCAGAGACAGAGTGGGGAGCAGAACAGGGAGACTGACTGAAACACACTGCTGAGGGGAGCAGCAGGCGAGACAGGAGAGGTCTGCTGCACCGTGTGGGTAGCTCCCTGGCCAGGGATTGACTCATGCTGCAGAGGCTGTGGACAGCTTCACAGTGCAGTGCTTAACCCCTTGCGCCACCAGGGAGGCCCCGAGTCTGAGTTCTACCTGGCCCTCCTTTTCCCCTCTGTCAAATCCGAGTATGTAATAATGTAATATTGGCTTCCATTCATCCAGCACCTATCCGTGCCAACCTCCAGGAAGTGGCACCAGTTATTAAAGAACAGCCATCACATGCCCGAAACTGCACACGTATTAGCAGGCTCTCCAGCCAACAAAATTCCTCACATTGATGCTCTCGGGCTCCCAGAGAGACATTTAACAGTGCCCGAGCCTTGTGTTACTTCATGTAGTTGCATGACTGATACATGAATCCATTCTCATTGTTTAAAGTTTCGTGTATAATCTGGATATGTTAAAAGTGAAAGGCTCCCTCCACTCACATCAGCCCTCTCTCTTCCCCAAGATTTTTTTATAGTTTTGTATCATTGAATTCTCAACAACAATGTTATATTTGTGCTTCCAGTTCCTCAGCTGTAAAATGGGAGTAAGGAGATTACACATAAGTGTGTTATGAGGATGAGAGACCCTATATATAAATCACCCAGGGAGTTTGTACGGCCTTAGTGAGGTGTTTTTTTGTTTTTTTTTTTTAAGATTTATTTATTTATTTATACAAGCACTGGGTACAGTCAGAAGCGCGGGAGGGTGAGAGAATTCACCAGAGCCAGAGCGGGGAGCAGAGCAGGCAGAAGGACCGAAGTACACTGCTGAGGGGAGCAGCGGGCGGCAGGAGAGGTCTGCGCGCCATGCAGGACCCTCCTCCGGTGGCCGGGGAGCAGCCGGGGATTGAACCAGCGCTGCAGAGGCTGCGGGCAGCTTCGCAACCCAGTGAGTTTTAGGGACTATAGTTTTCACCCCCTCGCAGCCCTGTGCTACCTCGTTATCCAGACCAAAGGGGTGAAGTCTCGAGAGATTTAGAGGCCTTTTCACCAAGCGCGCCCCAAGGGAACCTCTCAATGTCTTTGAAAGTTGGCAAGTTCTAGCTCATAACAGTTACTCAGACACTGCCAGTCTCATTATGCCCTCTGCTCTATCACTTCTCATCCAGGCTGACCTCAGTTAGGCAAGATGAGACAGGTGCGGATAAGATGTCCCCCCATCCCAAGAATAGTCCTCAAAGTGAGAAAGGAAGCCTGTGTTTATTTCATTCTTGAGAATGAGCCAGGAGAAGGTGCCCAGAGCCTGACTGGTGAATTCAAGTCCTTTCACAGCTGTAATTATCTCCTCTTTCCTTCCTCAGGGCCTGAACTGCACCATCGAGAAGAGTAAGTCATCTTTTTCTGTTCTTGTTGTTGCTTTGCTAATAAAGTGCTAACCTCGTGCTGATCTCTGATAGAAGTGCTGCCAGTTTGCTTCTGTTTAGGATTCGGGTCACATGCAGCACAGGGGGGCGCTGAGCATCATGGGTGTGTGCACCTGTGCTTCCTATCACGACGATTCCTTATGCCCAACTCAGGAAGCGAGAACTAGAATTGCCATTTGGATCTTGAAAGTCTTCTCTGGGGTGCTGCCTAGTTTGTAATGTGATTTGATTTGCCAGAGCTTGTCGCTGTAAAGTGAGAGACAGCTGTGATGCTGATTTTGCTTTGTATTTTAATTCAAGAAGGAGACACATATTTCAAGTGTCTGTGCTAATTGGGACCCCTGGCATATAAAAAGTAAAGTGACTGTTATTACTACCCCCTGGCACCTGTACCCCCTTTTCCAGGCTTGGCTTCATCTCAACACCAGTGTGTGTTTTGTCTTCTCACCTAAAATGCTCTTTAGACTTCAGAGCTTTGCAGTGACCCTAGGCATGCACTGGAAAAGAGGGAGCAGGGCAGGGAAGCTGAGAGTCCAGCGAGGTCACAGGCCCCTGGCTGTTTAAGATCTAGCAACCTCGCCCTACTGCTGGGCTAGGCTGCAGTTTCGGGCAGTTTCTTCAGTGTCTTGCAGCGCATGGGAGTTTCTGATTGCTGCTTTTCCTGGCTACCAGGTACCTGCCTGGATGACAGCTGGATCCGCCCGCAAAACCTGACCCCTTCGTCCCCCAAAGACGTCCAGGCCCGGCTGCATTTTATTCATACCCAGGATGGAGACCTACTCCCTGTGGTTCACATCACCTGGACCCTGAAGACAGATGGTGAGGGGGAACATCAGCTGGGCCCCCACTCCAGGAGACCCTCAGACTGGGCCATCCAGCTCTCCCACCAGCCTCAGAACTGAGCTCCCAGTACTGTGCTCAGACAGGAAGGCCCATGAAAGGGCCCATCTTGTCAAGTGGGGACCTCCTCGGTGTTTTATATTAGCCCACAATGATCTTCTCATCCCACCTCCTTCACAAAAGACCTTCCTTTAGTCTAAAATCTTTTCTCTCCCTGCAGGTAGAGAGGTGGGAGGTGGGAATATCAGATGGTTACTTCTCTGACTACTGTACCCCAAATATTTGTACCCCATACTCCAGAAAAATGATAACGCACTTGCCAGCCTGATAAGAGCTGGCACTTAAATCAACATCCCCCAAACCTCTTCAGAGGTAGAGTTGTATCACAGTGTAGGGAAGGTGGTTATGAACAAGAGCCGCCCCCACATTTGTGAACAGGAGACTGGGGGAATGTTCTTTTTGAGGGTCCCAACTCCCCCTGACTGCTGCAGCCTCTTCAAGGATGGGGGGCATGGCTGCCTGTGACCCACACCACCTTGCCAGCACCTGTGCCACAAATTTGTAAAGCCTTTGCCGCTAGGCCAATGTCAAGTGGCCCCTGCAGCTGGGATGTGTCTGCAAGGCAGCAGGCCAAGTCAGGCGCAAGCGCGAGCTGGAAGCACAGGAAGGGGAGGGCTGGGTCAGATCTTCATCTAAGACTAAGCAAGTGTGAGCCACGGAAGGGACACGCCAGCAGCTTGTCTTGATCTGCATCTGTATCCTTTCCTCCCTCCACCCTCCAGCCAGCATCCTGTTCCTGAGGGGTGCAGAGGTGTCTGTCCTGCACCTGAATACCAACGAGCTTTTATGTGTCAAGTTCAAGTTTCTGTCCCAGCTGGAGCATCGGTTTGGTCAGCGGGTAAGAATCAGCTCCAGATGAGCTGTGTTCCTCTGATGATAATGGGGGGCAGAACCCATTTTTGCAAACGTCCCTGACATGCCCACCCCTGCTTTTTCTTCCAACCCTATTGAGCTGTTCATTCTAAAGTAGGAAGCATGGGAAGATGACTGTGACAGCCCATGGTTCTCAAGGCATGGCCCTGGGACCAGCAGCACTGGCGTGTCCCAGGAGCACCCCACGCCAGCCCTCCTAAATCTGAAACTCTGTGCATGGCTGGTGCTTAACAGGCCTACCCCGTGCTTCTGATGCAGGCTCCACTTTGAAAACCGCTTGTTTAAATCTGCAAAAAGTGGCCATTTGAAGATACCCCTCTCCCTTGTTTAAATACAAAGATAAATCCCCTCTCCCTTGTTTAACCAGGCCTCTCAGACTGGCTGCTCTGTGAAGGGTGAGGACCCGGTGCCTAGAGCTACTCAGGCACAAAGGACCCCACCTTCCTCTGCCAGGGTGACTAGAATGGGTGTTGGAGTCTGTGTCATCTGCACAGATTCTGTTATTGTGGCAGCAAGGATGTCTGCAGGCCTGGGTGAGTGGGGGTCTCCTTAGCCCACCCTCTGCACTCGTGTGCTCCAGAATTCTTAAGAGATCATGGAGTTCACATTTAAGGAGGAAGAGTCAAAGTTAACAATAGTTTTTAACTGCCTCTGTATGCCAGCTCTCCTAACAGCCCCACCGGTACTGACCCAATATTGCTCTGAGCGCTGGGCAGATGGAGGACTATTCTGGCTTCCCCAGTGACACTGCTCTACTCACAAGGCCAGATCTAGGTTTTGTAAAATAGGCAGAAAAGATAGGAAACAAGAAACAAAGATACCAGTGCCTCCCATCTTGGGTTTTGTTCTGATTTTTGCTTTCATATTTAAAAAAAAAAAAAAGATTTATTCATTTATGCATACAAGAACTGGGGTGTAGGCCAGAGGTGCGTGGAGGGAGGTGAGAAGATTCATCAGAGACAGAGTGGGGAACAGAACAGACAGATCTACTGAAATACACTGCTGAGGGGAGCAGCAGGCAGGATAGGAGAGGTCTGCTGCTCCATGTGGGTAGCTCCCTGGCCGGGGATTGAACTCGTGCTATAGTGGCTGTGGATAGCTTCATAGTGCTGAGACTTAATCCCTTGTACCACCAGGGAGGCCTCTGCTTTCTTATTTTTGACGGATTTTTTGGGAGCAGGCAGGGGAGGGCTCTTTGGACAACGATGGTCAGAGATCTGTGTGTGTGACCTATTAACCCCCTTTGTCCCTTCTCTTTAGTGGCATTTTAACTTCAGCCACTTTGTGGTCGAACCTGGCCAGCAGTATGAGGTGACTGTCCACCACCTGCCCCAGCCTGCCCCTGGTGGGGACCCAAATCACGAGTCTCAGAACTTATCCGTGCCTGGTAAGATTGCCCTCCCACACCATTGCCTCACCCCTAGGCTGTCTGGGACGACCACCTGCAGGCAGCTCAGGGCCTCCCTACCCAGCTGGACACTTGCTGCCATTGTCACATGTAGTTCCCAAAGAACAAACAACTACCAGGGGCCAAGGGCTATTTGGCGGATGGTTGCAGCCTCCGCCCCTGAAGGCAAGGCCCGTTCCCTGTGCACACAGTGGCTGTTGGCCCAAGGCCCCAGGGTTTTATGGGAACCAAATTCCTTCCCTCTGGAGAAGCGCACACCGGCCCTGGAAGTCTCAGGAAGACAAGCCACTCGGGAGAGCTGGGACAGCTGCCTCCAGCCTAGTCTCAGCTCTCACCACCTGTTCTTCCCTCTGTGCCCCACACCTTCCCTGCACCACCCCACAGGCAACACCACCCCTCCTCCCACCACTCACCTGTCCCACCTTCGAGGACCGCCAGATTCTCTTCTAAGGCATCATCTGATGTGTGTGCTCCTTCCCCCACAATGTCAGGCATAACCTTCATTACCCAGTGTTCCAAGCCAGCTCATCTGAAACCCCAAATCCCCCTTGGGGGGGGGTCTGAGTTTTGCACCCGTTCATTCAATCGTCAGACCCTCACTGACTGCCCTGCATGTAATGGGTGGTCCAGAAATGTTTGTTAAGGATGGTGATGGCCTTCATCATCCCTGGAGCCCCCCCCCACCTACATGCACACACACGCACACACACACTACCTGCCACCCTGCTTAATATAATGTTACTCCTTGATATTACATTGTCATATTATAATTATGAGATTATATTATGCTGGCTTTTGTTTTACTGGTCTCTTCTGTTGGAATGTACTCTCGGAAGGGTGGAGATTTTGTCTGTTCCCTACTGTATCTCCAGTGCTTAGCACAGGGCCTGGACCATATTGAGTGCTCAGGAAATATTAATTGAATAAGTGTGAAGGGTGAGGACCTGGTGCCTAGAGCTACTCAGGCACAAAGGACCCCACCTTCCTCTGCCAGGGTGACTAGAATGGGTGTTGGAGTCCGTGTCATCTGCACAGATTCTTTTATTGCTGCAGCAAGGGTGTCTGCAGTCCTGGGGTGAGTGGGGGTAGGACACTGACTCAGTCCCAAGGCATTTCATGCCCGTCATGTGTCTCCTTAGACCAAAGTCCAAACAGTACAGTGAAGGAGAGTTGGGGAGGGGCTCGAGAAGTTACGTGTAGAGGCAGTGGTTCTCAAGGGTCTGGGGCCCCGGGTCAAATACCCTTGGATAGTGTTAGAAATGCAAGTTTTCAGAACCCACCCCCGACTTACTGGCTCCAGAATGAAATGACTGAGACGCAGAAGTTCAAGAAACAAAGTGCTTCTCCCTTTGTATACAGGCAGAGGCCACCTGGAGAGGAAGTTGCAGGCAGGAGAGCAGGGACTGAGTGGACTAAGACTCCTTGGCTACCCAAAGCAACCTTGAATCTGGAAGGTTGAGAGGGATGAGGCCCTCCAGGTCAGCCCATAATTCTCTGGAACCTCTGGCCAATGGCCACAGTCTAGTCCTGGGCTGGCTTTGAAGGAGGCGTGTTTGAACAGTCTCCCACAAAGGAAAAGGTTATTATCCCTGCTGTGAGGAATCAGGAAGAGCAAGCTTTCAAAGGCAAAGACTTAAAAGTTTCACTTTATTCTCGGTTGACAGGCTGCAGGCACCCCCAGATGAAGGTAACCACACCGTGTGTGAACTCAGGTAACTGCGCTGGCGGCCTGGCCAGGGGCCTTCATTCAGTGCCGGTGGGCTCACGCACACATGCTTATGTGCACGCACACCCTTTCCTCACACCCGGCCCTTGTCTGTGCCCTGGGCAGGCAGCCTGTGGGATCCCAACATCACCACAGAGACCATCGAGGCCCGGCAACTGCGGGTGAGCTTCACCTTTTGGGAGGAATCCACCCGTTACCAGATCCTGCTGAGCAGCTTCCCCAACAAGGAGACCCAAAGCTGCTTCACAAGAGTCCTGGATGTGCCTGCGGTAACTGCCACCTTCTTAGCCCCTTAACATGCCTGGAAGCACCAGCTTTGCTTCCCCTCTGTGGCCCGAGGCTCAGCACTCAGCGCTGTGCTCCATCACTGCCGACCCCATCTGCGGTGGACATGCAGTGGACTCTCGTGGATCTTCCCTTTTTGATCTTAGAGTTGTTAGAAATAGAGTTGATGTCTACCCTGCCCACCTTTTTTTGTTCTTCCTCCCCCATGTCCATCTTCCTCTATTCTCTTTTTGTTTCGCCTTACTCCACTTAGGCCAAAAAGGATTTCCACAAAAAGGTGGAAATCAAGACAAAAGAGAAATAAAGATGAGGAAGTAAGGTGAAGCCGGGGTAGGACCACGTGCAGGAGAAAGAGTGTATCAGCCTGCTGGGTGAGATCACAGATCTGTTCCGCAGTCCCCAGCGCAAGGAGGGAAATCCCAGTTACAGGATGTTTCCTTGACTTAACAGCAAACAGTTGCCATAGGGGAATGTCATTTTTCCTGGGACAGAAACCTGAAAAGTCTTCCTCCCTGTGGCCCCCCCTAAGGTACCTGATGTTCCCCACAGCTTCCTACAGCCAGACCCCAAGTTCTTATCCAGTAACCTATGCACCTTCTCTCTCCAGCCCACCCCAGAGGACTTCCACCGGCGGACCAACGTCACACTCAGCCTGTCGAACTTCAGTGGGTGCTGCCGCCACCAAGTACAGGTGGGTGATTGCAGCGTAGACAGGTACAGGAGCACACAGGTGATTCTTTTAGATAAGGGGGGCGGTGGGCAGGAGCTCGGGTGCTCCTTGTACTGCTACCCTCTGGGATTCCCTGGCTGGCGAGGGAGTGTCTCTGCACTGTGTCTCCAGCCCCCTTCTCCAGCCTCACCTGGCCCGGGATCCTTTGATCCTCCAACCTCTCAGTGATGGGTGGTCTGACCTGGCAGCCAGATGGAGTCCTGAGTAGTGCACCAAATATCCTCTGCTGGCCAGAAAGCACCTGTGCGTCCGCATGACTCCTCATCATGTCCTCTCTCTCCTGCCCTCTCTGCTCTCACAGATCCAGCCCTTCTTCAGCAGCTGTCTGAATGATTGCCTCAGACACTCCGTGACTGTTCCCTGTCCCAAGAGCCTAGACTCTCCAGGTAGGGAGCACACAGCAGGGCGACTTTGGGGTCAGGCGTCCTGACCAGGCCCTAAGTGTGGGGCAGAGGGATCCCGGCCTGCAGGTAGGGCTTTAGAGAGATGCTCTCCTGGTTGGGCTTCTGATTGCCTTTTGTGTGCTGTGTAGCCTCAGCCCGCGTCCTTAACCTTTCTGATCCTCCACTCTGACTGGAAGAATGAGAGCCGTTCATTGTCGTAGAGTTACTTGTATGCCATGTACTGAACACAGTGCCTTGACTTACCATCTGTCTTTAATTCGCACAAATTTGGGCCACGTGGAAGTGCACACTGCCTTCCAGGTCGTGGGTGAGGAAACTGTACCACAAAGCTGTCATATCCCTTATCTAAGATCACCGGCCCAGAAGGCCCAGAAAGTGCCGTGACTTGGCTCTGACTTGAGCCTGTGAGAATCTACCCCTTCCCCCTTTTCTTTCAAAACTCTCTGCAGCCTAACTTGTGGCTACATCTGCATACTAATCAGAAAGCAGCAGATAGGGCACTGGCTGGGATGGAACCAGCCTGGGTGGGAGGACCACTCCATCCAGGGCCTCAGGGGATGTGACTACTGCTAATAATTATTCCATTTTCCCTTTGTTCTTCTTGCAGATTTGATAGCAGGTAAGCCCAGCCCCCTGACTCCTAAGCCTCAGGTAAGACCCCTCAGGGCATGTTCCCCTGAGGCCACAGGAGAAGGCCCTGACTTGGCCTTGGATGGAGCTAGGCAGACAAGGCTGAACCAAGAGGCCAGCATGGGGTGAGGGTAGGGGGTGAGGTCCCCAGTGGGTAAGGTACCAGCCAAAGGCCAGCACGAGGCCTACAGTGGAGCCGGGGAACCCCAGGGCTTGCGTCAAGGCCTTCCCTGCCCCCTCACTCACACTGTTCCACTCACCACAGAGCATGTCCCCCTGTGGGTGTATGGGCTCATCATGGCCGTCGCGGTCCTGTTGGTGGCCTCCGTCATCCTGCTGATCCTCTGCATGACCTGGCGGCTGGCGGGTAAGGAGCAGAGGCTGCGGGCCTGGTCCTGGGGCTTTCCCTTTTGCTCCTCTCTTTCTTTCTCCCCAAGGCCCCCTACTTCCCACCCAGTCTCTGTAAGGCTGTCAGGGGGCACCCTTCTACCTCAAATTAAGAACACATGTTACCTCTCTTCGGCCATATCTTAGTTGTCAGAACTCCAAGCCTGGAGTCCAGCTGAGCTGGGCCCACCTCCCAGCACCACGGCTTACTACGTGGGCAGGCTGCTCGCCTCTCTGAAGCTCAGATTCCTCATGTAAAATGGAAATTATATTGGAACCCACACCAAAAAGCCACTGTACAGATTATGTGAAACAATGCGTATGAATTCTCAGCATAGAACCCACCACACACTTTTGGCTCAATATATGTTAGCTGCCTTGATTTTTTTTTTTTTTAAGATTTATTTATTTATTTATACAAGAACTGGGGTACAGACCAGATTCACGGGAGGGTGAGAGAATTTACCAGAGACAGAGCGGGAAACAGAACAGGCAGACTGACGAAATACACTGCTGAGGGGAGCAGCAGGCGAGGCAGGAGAGGTCTGCCATGCCATGTGGGACCCTCGCCAGCCCGCCGGGATCAAACCAGCACTGTGGAGGCTGCGGACAGCTTCACAGCGCTGCGCTCAACTGCCTGCGCCACCAGGGGAGGCCCTCGCCTTGATATTAATTGGTATTAATATTATTAAAATCAATAGGTCGGGGACCTCCCTGGTGGTGCAGGCAGTTGAGTGCAGTGCTGTGGAGCTGTCTGCAGCCTCTACAGTGCGGGTTCCATCCCGGCCGGCCGGGGAGATGCCCACATGGCGTGGCAGACCTCTCCTGTCTTGCCCACTGCTCCCCTCAGCAGTGTATTTCAGTCAGTCTGCCTGTTCTGTTCCCCGCTCTTCTCTGGTGAATGCTCTCACCCTCCTGCACATCTGGCCTGTACCCTGGTTCTTGTATAAATATTTTTTAAAAAATCAGTAGGTTGGAAGGAGCTCAAGAGGGTCCCTTCATCCAAAACGATCAGCCAAGCAGGTGGACCAACCTGAGCAACCCCATCCTGCAGCCCACCTTGTATAGATGAGATCAGGGAGAGTAGTGAAAGGGACATGCTTTGGTAGAAAGGGCTCAGGGTGGACCCAGTACACAGGGGTGTGGAGCCCAGCTCTGCCTCTTTGGTTTGCAGGCATAGGCAAGGTTGCTTAGCAAACCCTAGATTCAATTTTCTTTCTGGAAAATAGGATAACACCTCCCTCTCAGGGCTGAGGTGAGGATGAAATGAGCCAAGGAAGGTGTTTGCTTGTGGATGATAATAAGTATCAGTTCCCTCTCCCACTGCAGCCCCTCTCCCCAGCCCCGACCCCTGCTGGCCAAATTCTAAGTAGGAGAGAATACCATGTCCTGGTTGGGACCTCAGCTTGTCCCTCCCCCTGCACAGCAGTGGGCTGTTTTCTCAGTGATCTGGGAGGCCAGCCCATACCTACAGGGCTGGTCAGAAGTAGTATTAATCATTATTAACTACTGCTGTGCAGTGGAAAGAACCCAAAAAGTCCATTGCGAGAGTCCTTCCCCAGAGGATTGCTGGGTCACATGAGGGAATGTCTCCGAGCACTGTATAAACCATCGTCATCTCTGTCGCCCCTCTGACCTCCCCTGCGGTGGCCCACACCACAGCCAAAGGGAAGGACAGGAAAGAAACCTCACTCCCTATATCATTGTCTTTTGACAGTCTGGGCCAAGACCCAATAGGTGGGAATTGAAATTAATGTTCTGGAGGCTTCCTTGGTCGCCCATGGCCGTTCATGGGACTGTGACACTAAGGAGCTGACTCTGCTGCACTCTTTCATTTCCTCTCTGAAGGGAGCAATTACTTATGTTGGTTTCCTCTCCTCACCACACAAATACCAAAAGGTAATGTGGGTACCCCATGGGGCAGCTTCTGGAGACGTGTTGTAAGAAATTCCCTCCTGCAAGGACTGTGCTGGGGAAAAGGAGGCTTTCCCTCAAGTGGGAGTCTGCTTGGGGGTGGCCATGCTGTGGGGAGGGCAAGGGAATTGGTTCAGTCACTAGAGACTGGGGTGAAACCCCATCACATTCTGGGTGATCCTCCTGGGTCGGGGCTACAGAACACTTATGATTTAGCTGAGCAAATGTACGATGTGCCGACGCCTCACACACACGGCTGGGACACACACACAGATCTCATGAAGTCCCACCCCCCACCCCTCAGCCCACAGACACATCTCACAGAGAAAGTGAGTCTTCCAGACCACACAGCCGGCAGTGGTGGGCCCACGATTACCCCCAAGTGGCCCTTAGCCGGTCCCCCAAGGGGCCGTGACACCCCTGACCACTGTCCAGGCTGCCCTTTCTTGTCACCTGGTCCGTGCCAACAGCACAGCGGTGCTCCCCTCAGATCTCCATAAACTGGTCCCTATTTCTCTTTTCCTTTCAGGTGCACGTCGTGAGAAATATGATGTCAACACCAAGCACACAGGTCAGTCTTCTGCGGTCTGGGCGGCCGTTTTAAAGGTGTGGTGGTGGGTTCTCTTGCGATACATGGGTGAGTCGCTTTCTGTGGTTTAACTCCCGAGACCTCACCTTCAGAGGACCCGCCTAATAGCACCCCCACGTGGGCGGGACCTCAAATGACAAGGCTGGGATTGGGTTTTTTAAATCACTTGGCCAAGGAAAGGGAGATAAGGGCACCAAATTTTGTGGAAAGAGAGTCTCCCAACAGCAGATATTTTGCTCTGTTGGCAATCCTTTCTGTGCCTTTTTGTTTCTCAATTAAAATAATAAAAGTAGGGCCTCCCTGGTGGTGCAGCAGGTTGAGCGCAGTGCTGTGAAGCTGTCTGCAGCCTCTGCAGCCCCAGATCGATTCCCAGCCGGCCAAGGAGATCTCCATATGGTGCGGCAGACCTGTCTCACCCGCTGCTCCCCTCAGCAGTGAATTTCGGTCAGTCTGCCTGTTCTGCTCCCCGCTCTGTCTCTGGTGAATCCTCTCACCCTCCCACATCTCTGGCCTGTACCCCGGTTCTTGTGTAAATAAATAAATCTTTAAAAATAAATAAATAAACAGAAGTACAGGCTGGAGATGAGATAGGAATGTGAGAGAGAGTCTCTTTCCCAGAAGGCACCAGACTGATTTTTCTCAGGCAGCCAAAATAGGTGAAGCAGCAACACTTGCAGCTTCTAAGACTCAGGTGAGGGAGCCGAGCTCCGTGTGGTCCAGGCCCTTCCCGGGCCGGCCAGCTGGGGGCGCTGCCCTGGCCTGTGCTGTGGGGTCAGCACGGACACTCACTGGGCCTGTGGGCTTGGCTTCCCTGTTCTCCCTCAGATGTCCTGCCCGCCGATGCCCTGACCCCGTCACCCCTGAAGCCGAGGAAGGTCTGGATTGTCTACTCCGCCGACCACCCCCTCTACGTGGACGTGGTGCTAAAGTTCGCTCAGTTCCTGCTCACCGTCTGCAGCACGGAGGTGGCCCTCGACCTGCTGGAGGAGCAGGTGATCTCAGAGGTGGGGGTCATGACCTGGGTGAGCCGCCAGAAGCAGGAGATGGTAGAGAGCGACTCCAAGATCATCATCCTGTGCTCCCGAGGCACCCGGGCCAAGTGGCAGGCCATCCTCGGCTGGGAGGCCTCGGCCGTGCAGCTCCGCTGTGACCGCTGGAAGCCCGCGGGCGACCTTTTCACGGCGGCCATGAACACGATCCTCCCAGACTTCAAGAAGCCAGCCTGCTTCGGCACCTACATCGTCTGCTACTTCAGTGACATCAGCAGCGAGAGCGACATCCCCGACCTCTTCCACATCACTTCCCGGTACCCGCTCATGGACAAATTTGAGGAGGTCTACTTCCGGATCCAGGACCTGGAGATGTTTGAGCCCGGCCGGATGCACCGCGTTGGGGAGCTCACCGGTGAGAACTACCTGCAGAGCCCCAGCGGCTGGCAGCTCAAGACAGCCGTAGAGAGATTTCGGGAGTGGCAGATTCGGTGCCCCGACTGGTTTGAGCGTGAGAACCTCTGCCCAGCGGATGACCAGGACCTCCCGTCCCTGGACGAAGAGGTGTTTGAGCCACTGCTGCCCCCGGCAGGCGGCATCGTCAGGCAGGAACCACTGGTGCGGGAACCTGCCTCCGAGGACTGTCTGGTGGTGGATCTGATTGTCAGTGAGGAAGGAAAAGGGGCATCAAAGCTGGACCCTCAACTTCAGCCCCAGGGGGTGCCGGCAGCCCAAGCCCTCCAAACCGCCGTGTTCCCCGTGGAGACAGTCCCTCCAGCTCAGGCCGTGAAGCCCATCCCTGGGGCAGTGGGAGACAGTACAGCCGGCCAACTGGCCGTAGTGGAGCCAGGTGAGGCCTGTCCACTGCTGGAGGGCAGTGGCCCTCAGCGGAACAGTGTCCTCTTCCTCCCGGAGGCCTCACAGGACCCACCGCTCTGCAGCACCCCGGCAGCCTCGTCCGGCTTCCTGGACGGCTGCAGGGGACAGCTGGAAGGCTTGATGCTCTCCCTCTTCCAGCAGAGTCTGAGCTGCCAAACCCAAGCAGAGTGGGAGAGGCCGGCGGTGGGCCTCAAAGACCTGCATACCCCCTTCGAGGAAGAGCAGTCTGACCAGGGCTATATCTCTAGGAGCTCCCCTCAGCCCCCCGATGGACTCACAGAGATGGGGGAAGAGGAAGAAGAGCAGGACGTGGCTCAGTCAGCTAAGCCCCTTTCCCCTGCGGACCTGGCGCGTCTACGAAGTCTCCAGCGACAGCTCTTCTTCCAGGAGCTTCGGAAAAACTCTGGCTGGGACAGTGTGGAACTGGAGAGACCAAACTCCTAGAGGCCTCTCAGACCCTGAGCATTGAGCAAAGGGGCATGTGTGTGCCTGTGTGTGTGTATGTGCTCTTGGGTGTAGGTGTGTGAAATGCACCTTCAAAATGTAAACATTTGATTCTGATCCCAGTGTGTCCTTACCTTTTCTTTCTCTGACAATGTGGTTATCTTCCTTCCTCACAAGAATCCATATCCTGTTCCCCAGAGACAAGAGCAACGTGTCTGGGAGTCTCCTTCATCCAGTCATCCTGCATCTGCTCTGCCCCTCCTTCATGCAGGCATCTGAGAAACAAAGATGAGTTACACCCAATGTGGCTCTAACCCTCTCGGCGCTCACCCTCCAGTGTGAGCAATAGGTTAGCAAGCAGAGGATGGTCCTGTGAAGGTCTCTTGGCGACTAGAGGCCTGCCCAGGGCTGGGAAAACAGAAAGGGCACCTGGCCTGGGGAGAGATTCCTGGAGGAGGTGACATATGAGCCAAAGAAGAAACTAGTTTTCTGGGCCACGAGACTGTGGCTGGAGAAGGTGAAAGTCCCAAGACGGAGCAGGCTGTGGGGAAGGGCCGGAGTGAGGCCATCAGCAAGCTGAGCCTGGAGTGGAAGAAGGGAGGTGACCAAGGGTGAGGCAGGGAAGGGAGGTAGCCAGAGCCCAGGCAGGGGGAGCCTTCAGGGCCACTGGAGCTGACACAGCAGCTTGAAGGCCTGGGGCTTTATCTGATGCACTGTCACCCTTTAGAGGAGGAGGCTGAGGGCCAAATATACCCAGAAGTCAACTTCCTTGGGCTCAGGTTGCATCCTTCCAAAATGGAGTCTTGTGAGGATGAGCGTGCTTGCGGAGACTTGGGTGGCGTCACACCCAAGGAGTGCTCCCCACGTGGACACCATCACAGCGTACAGGCATGGCAACCCCACCACTTCTGGCGGGTGAGCCTCCCAGGCTGGCTAAATCTGTTCAAGAGAAGCACTCACACCTGATCCCGGGTCAGGACGCGATGGGAAGCCAGGCACTGTTTATCTCGCCTCCCTGCCTGTTGTTACTGCTTCCTCCCTCCAGTGTTTCCATCTTCAGATTATAAAAGTGTTAGCAGGGGCCTCCCTGGTGGTGCAAGAGGTTAAGACACAACCTGTTAAGCTGTCTACAGCCTCTGCAGTGCAAGTTCGATCCCTGGCCAGGGAGCTACCCACATGGCGCAGCAGACCTCTCGTGACTCACCTGCTGCTCCCCTCAGCAGTGTATTTCAGTCCATCTGCCTGTTCTGCTTCCCACTCTGGTGAATCCTCTCATGCCCCACACCTCTGGCCTGTACCCCAGTTCTTGTATGCGTAAATAAATCTTCAAAAAAAAAAAGTGTTAGCAGGTAGGGCCTCTCCTGGTGGCGCAGCAGTTGAACGCTGGGCTGCGAAGTTGCCCACAGCCTCTGCAGCACCAGTTTGATCCCCGGCCGCCGGCGAGGGTCCCACATGGTGCGCAGACCTCTCCTGCCGCCCACTGCTCCCCTCAGCAGTGTATTTCGTCAGTCTGCCTGTTCTGTTCTCCTCTCTGGCTCTAGTGAATTCTCTCACCCTCCCATGCTTCTGACTGTACCCAGTGCTTGTATAAATAAATAAATCTTTAAAAAAAAAGAAAAAAGTGTTAGCAGGCAGATTGAGAGGGGACCCTGGAACCCTCAAGCATGCATGCTCTAATGGAATTCTGCCCCTACTGCAGAGAGAAAAAGCAATGCTCAATGTGTGTCTTTAATGGGGTGACCATGCTCAGAGGGCAGAAGAGAAAGGAGATAGTCTTCCAAGGAAACTCCCAAAGTCACCCACGCCCTCGTGGGTAAATGCCTGGCCGAAGAGTGTTGCCCTATAGTGGGGCCACCTATAACGGAAGGGACACAGTGCAGGTTTTCTATGACCCAAGCAGACGGGGTAAAGGAGGAGAAAGTCCTGGAGCCCGCGGTGGTTTTTGCAGGCTTTCACTGGAATTTACCAGGTACACAGCAGGCAGGGGTGCTGGGGGGCCGGGAGGCTGGCAGGCCTCCCAGCCCCCAGCAAGTCTTCACTCTGGGCTCTCTGCTCTTCCATTTGTTCTGCTTCTGTAGGCGTCCCCCTGACGCCACCCTTACAAGCACAGTCCCAGCCCAGGTGAATCCCATCTACCTATGCCCGTACCCCACTCTGGGTACCCACCATTGGGCATGCATTCAGGACCGCGGGGTTCCAGCATCTGTCCTGATGGCGGGAGGGCAGAAAAGCCTGATACTTTTACCTTACCCTACAGTCCACCCCCTCAGGGTTTTCTGCCAGACAGTCTATAAACATCATGTACATTTCTCGGCAATAGAACACTGCAGCCGTGGCCCACAGAAGCAAATGAAATACATCACAATATAACAAAATACAACAGAACACAAATAAGTCCAGGCAGGGCACCAATCTAATGGCAAAAGACAAGATTATTGGCATCAGCAGATGATCCACCAAATCTGCTGTCGAAGGCGCTGCTCATACAAGGGGGGAACCACTCACGGCATCTGCCGTCACACACCAGGAGGCGTCAGGCTTCCTGGCCTTCTCCGGCTGTAGTGTAAGCCACAAGCCACACACCGCATCCACCCCGAGGATGCACGCACTCGGGCTGGCGCTTCTATTCTACTGCTGGGGGTAATCGCCAACCCTCAGGGTTTCTGTCTGCGGTCGCTCCAACACTCGGCTTTCACAGCCACCCATGCCACACACAGACCCCTGCACTCAGGCCAACCCACTGCACACGCACACGGGTCAGGGATCCGTGGATGCAAGCTCCACATGCGGCCTCTCTTGGGCTGTGGGCTCCATCACAAGCCACGTTCCCCACCCGTCCCCCATGGACAGGTTCCCCAGCTCCTCACACTCACTCATCTGTGAGCAGGGCATCACCCACAGGTGATTTTAAGAGACTCACTGGCCTTCTTTAGCTTACTTAGTGCTCAACAGCCGCTCAGGGCTTCTCAATCTCAGTACCGGCTTTTGCTTGCTCAGTTGGCTTTTTCTCTGCCTGGCTGCAGAGAACTTGGTGAGGGCTTCCTCCCTCAGCCAACTGTGGGCTCTTCTACCAAGGCCCACTGGCCGTGCCTTGATTTTAAAGGATACCATCCTGGGCCTCCCCGATGGCGCAGGGGTTGAGCGCTGGGTTGCGAAGCTGCCCGCAGCCTCTGCAGTGCCGGTTCGATCCCCGGCTGCTCCCCGGCCACCGGAGGAGGGTCCCACATGGCGCGCAGACCTCTCCTGCCGCCCGCTGCTCCCCTCAGCAGTGTACTTCGGTCCTTCTGCCTGCTCTGCCCCTCGCTCTGGCTCTGGTGAATTCTCTCACCCTCCCACGCTTCTGACTGTACCCAGTGCTTGTATAAACAAATAAATCTTTAAAAAAATAATAAAATAAAGGATACCATCCACCCCCAGGGTCCCCAAAACATACCAAACTTGCCAAGGTCTTCCGCCTTCTGGCAGGATTGTTAGTCCATTAGTCCAAGTTCATCGGCTTTTCCCTTTGTCCACACTGGCGAGCTCTGAACCGGGGTCCTCTCTTCCCCGACGATTCTTGCTGCCTCGGGGGTCGTTGGCTGGTCCTCCCGGGCGTCTCCTCCACGCGAGTTCTCGTCCCGCAGCTCCCGGACCTTGTCCATCTCCTGTGCTGCCATGACGCCTCCAGCGTCGTCACAGGCACACACAGTCTGTTACTCCTCAGTCCCTCCAGGTCTTCGGAGGGCTCCATACCCGTCTGCATGGATCATCCTGCCGACTTACGCCAATTGTAAGGGCCCGAAGGGACACAGGGCAGGTTCTCTATGACCCGAGCAGACGGGGTGAAGGAGGAGAGAGTCCTGGAGCCCGCGGTGGCTTTTCAGGCTTTTATTGGGAGTTACAGGTACACGGCAGGCAGGGGTGCTGGGGGGCCTGGAGGCTGGCAGGCCTCCCAGCCCCCAGCAAGTCTTCACTCTGGGCTCTCTGCTCTTCCATCCATTCTGCTTCTGCTGGCGTCCCCCTGATGCCGCCCTTACAAACCCAGTCTCAGCCCAGGTGAATCCCATCTACCTATGCCCACACCCCACTCCAGGTGCCGCCCTCAGGCATGCATTCAGGGCCGCAGATCCGTCATCCATCCTGATGGCGGGAGGGCAGAAAAGCCTGATGCTTTTACCTCACCCTGCACCGCTGAAGCCCGAGAGCCTGCCGCAAGGCTGAGGCAGCTTCCGGTGGGGCCCCAGGGGAAAGGAACCGGCAAGTCTGGGACAAAAGGAGCAAAATCAAAGTGAAGATAAAGCCTGCGAGGGCCAGGCTCCCCGGGGCCTCTCCCCAGCGTGACTCTTTCAAGTGTCTCTCCAGGTCTCTCCTCCAAGTCCCCCAAGTCCTCTGTGGAACAGCGTTATCCCCCCAGAAAGCGGAGAGTCCAGGTTCCCTGCCCCTCCGAAGGAAGGGTGGAGCGGAGCAGCGGGGAGAAGCTGAAGGATCTTGGGAAGAAGATTGGGAGAAGAATTGGGGAGGCACCTGGAGCAGAGACGTGTGAAGCTGTGCTTGCTTCTCGGCCTTGGACTCGCACCCGGGACTTGGGGACGTGGAAGGAGATGCTTGGGAGAGACAGAGACGTGGGCGAGGGGCCCGTGGGGAGGCTGACACTGGCATCTTGACTTGTGTTTTGATTTTGCTCTTTTCCTTCCAAACTTGCTGCTCCCTTGGGGTCCCACCAGAAGGTGCCTTAGACTTGTGGCAGCTTTTGGGCCTCCGTGGCCCTGCTCTGGGCCAACCCTGTTTGGCTGGGCAGTTACCCATGAAGGGTAGGGTAACTGTGGTTGTTTAATTGCAAACTATTTTAACCATATTCTTTCTCTTCTTTCTGTTGCACACTAATTGTATTAAAATTCCTTTCCATTGAAAGACTTACACGTAAGAGTATGCTTTGTCTTTGTGCAGCAGATGGCAGAACCCATTTAGAGCATGCGGGTTTTGGGGCCTCAGGGGAACCTTCATTCCGCCCACTAACACCTGGTGCAAGTCCAAAGCCAAGAAGCAAGCCTCATATGTCTCTCTGCTCCCTGTGATTCCTTCCATGTCTCTCCAAGAGTTCTCTCTTGAGTTTATCTGCCTTCCATGTTAAGTAGCTTCACCTGGCCACTCATTTCCACCCCATCACTTTGTCGGGCCGGGAACATGAAACCTCCCCTTTCCATGGAGATATTTATGTTACAAAAGTAATATGAGGGCCTCCTCGGTGGCGCAGCGGTTGAGCGCTGGGTTGCGAAGATGCCTGCAGCCTCTGCAGCACCAGTTCGATCCTGGGCCACCGGGTGAGGGTGCCACATGGCGCGCAGACCTCTCCTGCCGCCCGCTGCTCCCCTCAGCAGTGTACTTCGTCACTCTGCCTGTTCTACTCTCCGCCCTGCTGAATTCTCTCACCCTCCCGTGTCTCTGACTGTACCCAGTGCTTGTATAAATAAATAAATCTTTAAAAAAAAAAGTAATATGAGATCTAATACGTATAGTGAGAGCCAATAAATGTGTTGGCTGAAGGGTCACTGTGGGGAGGTAGAAGCAATATCATCTATAGGTGCTATATTATAGAAGATAAAGTAACTGCCCCAGCCCACAGCTTTAGGGTGTGAGTTGGGGTGCCCTCTTGTTTTCTGCCAGGACAGAACCTTTGCTGGATGCCTGCTTCCCACTCACAGCTCCCCCCATCACTTCTAAATGGCTTCCACGTCTGTCCCCTTGTTTTGGCCTCTCACCAGCTCTCCATGCCCCTCTGCCCTCCAGGAGGTGGCACTGGGTGCACACTCTTGTCCATTTAAGTTGGTTAAAACAGGTGGGTCACCTGTTGAGTCAGATTTGCCTGTTAGCAGCGCTTGGAGTCCCCTCGTGATTTTGAAGGATGCTGAGAAGCCTTTCCAGCATGCCTCCTCCTGCCCTGGTACCCTGATTCCTTCCCTCAAGGAATAGCCCCTTAGGTTATTAATAATCTAGTGTCAATTCCTTTACTGGCTCCTTCTTGAGTAAGTAGAAGAAAAGACATGATCAATGAACCCCCTGCTTTTACCTGCACCCCAAATGGGTATCCTGTGGGTAGACTTTTGTTCAATGCCTCTCCCGTGGAATGCATGCAAAAATGAAAAACAGCTTGTTACCCAGAATCATACAGCTTTCATGCAGAAGCGAAACCCAGCTTACTGCTCAAGTCTGAAGGCTGCCTGGGGTCGTGTGGATTTTGAAGGTGGACAGACCTGGGTTCAAACCTGAATTCCCTTCTGACTGGACTGTGGCATTCAGCAACAACTCCATCCTACTGGTCTCAGCTGCCTTGGAGGTGGCTGTAATGAAATGAGCTAATGAGCACCAAGGGCCTCAGGCAATCCATCAGGATAATTCCGTGTTCTGCCCTGGGGCCAGAACTTCAGCTGCGTAGTCAGATGCAGCCTCAGGCAAGGCCAAATGTGGCCCTTGTTGACCCTCACGCATAGCGCACCCCCACACCCCTTTGCACCTTGGACAATGCACCTTCAGATACGTGCAACCAACCCAATCGGTGAAAGTGACCTCATTTAGCTAGAAGACACATATAAATATTTATAATATGTTTAATCAGCTTAGTTTACCTCTAGATTTAGGAAGCAATGAAGACATGGTCTTATTTGTTTAATTATTTGACGTGTAAATTTGGTCCTGTTATGACTTTAAATGTCTGAAGGACAAGGACCATTTTTGCAGATGTCATCTCATTTCATTCCTACCATAGCATGGTGAGGTATGGAATACTGCTCCTGTTTGATAAGTGATGAAGACATTTCCAAAGGTCAGGTGAGGACCCAAGCTGGGCCCAGCATCCAGCAGGTCCTATGCCTTGTTTTCCTCCTTCACCCTGTACAGGAAACTATTGTGTGATTTTCTTTTCTTTTTTTCTTACATCATTGTTTATTTTTGTACAATATTTGATTTCTCAAATATTATAATCCCCATAAATCTCCCACCACCCCATCACCCCATAAACTGTCACCATAGTCCCTTTGCTCTTCCCTCCCCTGTTATAACACCCTATATCGCCCTCTCCTGCTGTATGTCTCGTATCTATAACTTGCCTGCTAGTTTTGTCTTTTTTGCTGGCCCTTTTTACAGTTTCCTTTAAGTGAAACCAATTGATATTTTTCTTTTTCCTTCTGACTTATTTCACTGAGCATCATTCCTTCCAGCTCCATCCATGATGGTGTAAAGGCATGAGTTTATCCTTTTTGATCAGTGAGTAATATTCCATTGTGTATCTATACCACATCTTCCTGTTCCATCTGTTTTGGGGCATTTAGGTTGTTTCCATTTCTTAGCTATTGTAAGTAGTTCTGCAATAAACCTAGGAGGGCAGGTTTCCTTTTGAATTAATGTTTTTGTGCCCTTTGGTGGATTCCTAGGAGTGAAAGTGCTGGGTCATATGGCATGTAGTCATCTTAATGGCCAGGCACATCATAGGGCAATGGCGGAGCAATTCGACTGCTTCTGCATATCTCTGCGCTAAAAACAAAAACTCTAACTTCATGTTTGTGCAGACCTAAGGCTCTATCTTTAAAACTAACAAAAACTATGGCTTTGTTCTTCTTATTCACACTTAAGAATTCATGTTTCTGAGGTGAGAGTAACAGGGAGGGCAGAATATTAAAAGTTTATCAGCCTTTCTCCTTTTAGTAACTTTGCTCAGAAACAAGGGGGTAGGAAAGCCCCAAGGGCTGGGGAACCACCCCTCTTCGGCTGAGCGCACACCTGGGTTAGTTCTGCATTGGCAGAGCCTGCTAGACACCCCCCAGGTCAAGGCCACCCTGGCTCCCTGAACACCATGCCCCCTGCCTCGAGGGGAAGAGCCAACGTGGATCCAGAATGTTCCCGCAAACCTGTAAAATGATGACAAATGTCACAATGACATTTAAGAATTTAGTAAGGAAATCAGGACAGGGAAGATCTTAACAAACCACACAGGAAGCTTGTCACAAGTCTCAAGTTTTTTATTTTCAGAACAGAGTCTGGTTTTATTTTTAAAAAGAGAAAGAGGGAAAAAAAACGTGATAAATGCTAGTGAGGTGCCACTTGCCTTATTCCAGGCTCTCGCTGCCAGCTCGCTCTTTTCCCCAAAACACATGGGCTCAGCACCAGGGCAGGCCAGCTCAAAGGGTCTTTGAAGAGGGCCAGTCCAAGCCCCTTTTAAAACAAATGAGTCAGAGTGAAGATCAAGGTGAGTGACTAGGGGCGGGTGGCTTGTGTTCTGAAGCCTGGGCCCTTCTCTATGAACTGGACTGCTGGCATCAGCTTCAGGGACAGAGCAGCACCTGGTTATTAGAGCCATGGGGGACATCTCCAGTCTGACCCCTGCACTACAGGTGCCCTAGAAAGTCAGGAAAAAATGAAGTGTTAGGGGTCATTTCTTTTTGTGAATGGGGCAAAGGAAGTAAGAAAAAGGACCCAAGAAAAACACAGCAAAAAGAAGGGACTGACCCCCTGAGCGCAAAGAGCTTTCACCAAATATGTGAAAGAGGCTGTCTGGGCTGAGTGGGGGCTGGCAGACGGGGCTGGACAAGCCTGGCATCTGCAGGCCTGCCAGGCTGCCATCAGTCGATGTAGCTAGGGAAGTGACAGCTCACTGCGACATCCCACAGCCTCCCACGAGAAAACCAACGGCACTCGGCCCTCGGAGACTTCAGTCACTCAGCAGGGAGACCGCCATCCAAACAGCAGAAAGACGGTGAGGCGGGGGCCAGCCAGGAGCTGGCCATGGCTCAGACACAAAGTCCTTCCAGAGTCACTGAGATTAGGTAGCAGAGAAACAGAGCAAAGCTGGCGAGAGGACATGGGAGCAGAGGGGAGAGCAAATGGTCCCCCCACCCAGGGTCTGCACCCCAGAACTTCAAACACATGGATTCAAAGGGAGAGAAGATGAACCAGGGTGGGGGAAGAAGAAAAGGAAAAAGCAAAACAATTAATTGTGAAATGCAATTAGATAATGTGGGACTTCACAGGGTCAGGGGCTGGGAGCACAGATACCGATCGAGTGTAAACATTCCCCCCCATTCTCGCCACCGTGAGAGTAAGGGAAGGCTCAGGAGAACCCAGCTCAAGCCACCAGCCTCTCTGGTGTCTGTCAACAAGCCCCAAAAAATTATGGAAAGAGGGGACCCAAGGGAAAAACTGAGGCCCCAAAGGTAAAAGTGAAGTGTCACTCAAAGCTGGTTACTGAGCTAAACCACAGCCCGGGACTTCTGGCCCTTTAGCCAGGTTCATTACATCACATAAGACGCATGAGAAAAGGGTGGAAAAAAATTCTTACAATTTTGTCCTTACCCCATCTTATTTCGGGGTGAAGGAAAGTGAGTATTTCCTGGCCTTGCTCCCAACTGTCATGTACCTTACCTCCCCTAAAAACACTTACCCGCCTCAAAGATCCCAAGAGTGATGTCCCACATCCAGCCTAGAGGCGGACGATACCAGGTGGATTTCCCTGGTCATCACTCTCAGCAAGAGAAATACCCGCAGGGAGGCGACACACGCCTACCCCGGCAGCCTGCCTTCTCCCCAGAGAACCTCTTAACAAGAGCAGACATCGACACCCTTGTCGATCTACACTAAGCTCCCAAGAGGAAGGACAGGTGGGGAACTGGGGTTTTCCCCCTCTGTGGGCCCATGGGAGCCCCAACTTCCAGGAATCCCACCAAAGCTGTTATTCTGAGACAAGATCTGACCCAGCCAGCAACAGACCTCAGGAAGAATAAGAGTTCTGGGTGCAGAGGCAGGGACAGAGGGAGGTCAGGCCAATGGCTGATACTCCACAGACCCTGTATGAACCGTGGGCCCCAAACCCCAGCTGGATTGTGGCCACATGGAATCAACTTCTGAGTATTTTGTCTTCATTTTTTGCAAGCAGCATCAGTGCACGATGCAAGGAAAGTTGAATGCACGGAGGTAGAAATGCTCACTCACCCAAGAAAGGGTGTAGTTTGGTCCTTAGACTATGGACCCTCTCCTCCCCCAAGCTGCGAAGAGAGGAGCAGGAAGAAGGATCCTGGGCAAGCTTGTCCCCTGGAGGAGACCGAGTGGGCAGCACCCAGGAGCCCAGCTCTTCTGGGAATTCATGGCCACAAATTCACAAGGAGAGTAGTGGTATGTGTGGTGGGAAGGGCAGGGCCTCCCTACATCTGGTGGACACAAGAAAACAACACTGCACACACACACTACACACACACACAGAGACACACACAGACATAGACTTTGCATCGACCATCTGGAAGAAATCCAATAGACACATGAGGGAAACAGTGGATTCTGGGTCAGTTTCAAGGCCTAAAAGAAGCTGGCACTTCCAAGCTAGGGGAATGGCCCAAGGCCCCGCACCTCCTGTCTGAGCACACCCTTTCCCTCCATTTTCTTCCACAATGGGTTGGATTTAGGGTGGGAGGTGGAAAAATTCAGAAGCAGAGGGACCACTCCCCTGGAGCTAGGTTTAGCGTAGGGCATGGGGAAGAAAAAAACAGGGTAAGTGGACCTTCCTCCCCCACCATGAACTGCTGGTCTCTCTCCTCACAGTCTTGATCCAAGAAATGCAGGACACGCTGGCCCACGGCCCTGCAAACAGTTACCTCTCCCAAGCGGCCAGAGCAAATCTGGGTGAGAGACGAGAGGCCAAGGGAGCCAGGGCTTCTCAACCCTAAAGGAAGGCCCCCTCCTTATTCCTCTCAATTCTGGGAGGCGACAGCCAGCGTGTTGACATAACCATGGGCGCCCCCCTCGTTCTCCGGGATGCAGTGGCCCAGCTGGGAGCCTCCCTGAGGTGCTGGTGGCGGTGGTGGCGGTGCAGAGGGTGGCGCGCCATAGCTTCCTCGGAGCCGGCTGGGGGAGGCCCGACTCCCCTGGTCCCAGCAGCCCTCCAGGGCTTCCAGGCCCCGGCAGCCCAGGAAGAAGAGGTTCTTGAGCATGAAGATGGAGAGGGGCTGCTGATAGCTCACCACCAGGAGGCAGCGGAGCGCCAGCAAGGGCACGTCCACCAAGCAGCCGCCCAGCAGGCGCAGGAGGCGGCTGCAGCTGCCGGGCCCCGAAGCCTGGCTCCAGGACGAAGTGACGGCGGCGACGTTGAGCTCATAGAGCCAGAGCACCGGCGAGGCGAGGGTGAGGAAGTAGACCGCGATGAGCAGGTAGCGCAGGTGTGCCGGGAGAGGCACGCGGCCCTCCAGCATCAGCTCCACCAGGGTGAAGCTGTCCAGCAGGTCCAGACACGTGCCCAGGAAGCAGCCGGCGGCGCGGTGCTGCTGGGGCTGCAGGAGCAGGGGTCCCGCGGAGCCAGGGGGGGCGCCCGCCTCGCTGATGGCTCGCACCAGGCTGTAGAGCAGGGGCACCGACAGCGCCATGGTGAGTCGGAAGCCCGTGGTGCCGAAGGGCGCGCGCAGCTCGATGAGGTCCAGGATGGACGTGCCCAGGATGAGCACCACCTTGGGCGTGAAGGCGATGGAGTAGATGAGCCAGGCCAGGTAGGCGAAGGCGAACTCGCCCGCCGCGCCGGCCGCGCCCAGGCCGCCCCCGGGGCCGCCCGCGCCCCCGCGGCCGCCGCGCGCCTTGGCCCCCGCGGCCGCCCCCGCCGAGGCGGCGGAGGCCGCGGGCAGGTGCAGGGGCGGCGCGGCGTGGTGGTGGTGCTGGTGGTGGCTGTGCGCGCCGCTCGCCGCGCCGCCCCGACGGCCCCGACTGTTCTTGGCGAAGAAGATGGCCCAGCCCACCACCACCACCAGGTCGGTGGCGATCCAGGAGCACCAGTACAGGTCGGTGACGGCGATGAGGTACAGGTCCAGCAGCCCGCCCTGCGCCAGCAGCAGCACCACGGACAGCGCCTGGTAGCCCCAGCGGCACCCCGGGCCGGGCGCGCAGCCGCGACGCCGGCCCCGGCGGCCGGGCCGCGCCGGGCGGCAGCAGCAGCAGCAGCAGGCGCAGCAGGGCGAGCCGCCCCCCGCGCCCGCGCCGCCCGCGCCCCCGGCCGCGCGCCCCCCGGCGCCCCGACGGCCCCGGCCGCGGGCGCGCCCCCGAAGTCCACGGCCGTCATGCTGCAGGAGGTGGGCGTGGAGCTGCCGGAGGAGGTGGGCGCCGACGAGGAGAAGGCGGCCGGCGCGGGGCCGGGGCCCGGGGCGCCCCCCTGCGCCGGGGGCCCCGGGGGCGCGGCGGCGGCGGCCGGCACCAGCGGCTTGCTGATGCTCGCGCTCTCGTCGTCGTCCTCGCGCTCCGCGCCGGTGCTGCTGCTGGGGGAGCCGCCCGCGCCGCGCCGGCCGCCGCCCCCCCGGCTGGGGCTGGTGCTGGTGCTGCTGTCGCCCGAGCCCCGCCGGCCGCGGGGGGCGCCCCCCCGGAGGAAGAGCGGCTGCAGCCGCGCGGCGGCGGGGGGCGGCGGGAAGGGGCCGGCCGAGGACGAGACCGCGCGGGGGTGGCCGAGCGCCGGGCGCATTGTCCTCCGCGGGCTCCGGGGCGCCCGGCTGCTCGCGCCCCGCCGGCCCCGGCGGGCGAGGCGGCCGAGGGGAGCCGGGCCGGCAGCCGCCTCTCCCCGGCAGCGGGGGCGCGTCCCGGCCGGGCCGCCGCGAGAGCCGGACTGGAGCCCGGGGCCGGGCGAGGCGAGCCCGGCGGCTGCGCGCGGGGGCGGGCGCGGCGCGGAGCCTCCGCGGGGACGGCGGGCGCGGGCGGGCGGGCGGGCGGGCGGGCGGGGCGGGCGCGGAGCGGCCCCGCGGGGAGGGGCGGGCGGCTGGCGGCGGGGAAACCAGGACTGGATTCGAGGGGCGGAGGCGACCAGAGGCGGGGAAAGCCCGGCTCGCCGGATCAGCGGGAAGAAAGGGGGCCGGAGAGCGCCGAGGCCAGGCCGAGAGTTGGTTTGGGGGAGCCCCGAGGGTGGGAAGGGGAGAGGAGGCAGGCGGGGGTGGGGTGGGGAGTCGGCCTGGCCCCTAAATCTGCCTTGTGAATATGGAGTCTTTTTAAACCAAATCTACTCTCTCCGCTCCTCTTTGAAGGTCTATGTATCTAATCCAAGGCAGACGTGGGGTTTAGACTCACACATTAGTTTTTTAAGATTTATTTATTTATGCATGTAAGAGATGGGGTACAGGCCAGAGATACGGGGAGAGGATTCGCCAGAGACAGAGTGGGGAGCAGAACAGGCAGACTGACTGAAATGCACTGCTGAGGGGAGCAGCGGGCGAGACAGGAGAGGTCTGCTGCACCATGTGGGTAGCTCCCTGGCCGGCTGGGGATCGAACTCATGCTGCAAAGTTTGCAGACAGCTTCATAGGTTGCGTCTTAACCCCTTGCGCCACCAGGAAGGCCCCTTAGACTCACACAATATTTGAAAGGGGGATTATAGGGGGCCAAGGTAGCCGGCCGTGGTGGCGGAGAGTGGGGACAGTCTTCATTGTCCTCGCAGGAGTGCGGTTCTCTGCATCCGGCAGTCCTGTGCCGAGCAGGCTATGGTGGCAGCATGTGAGCTCTGGGGCTGGTGGTCTCAGCTCTGCCACTAAGCTGATGTGACTTCAGTCACGCTCTCTCACCTCTTTGCATCTCAGATTACCCAGCTGTAAAAGGACCCATATCTACCTCGGTATGCTCTTGTGAGATCTAAGGGAGGTCATGATTCAAAGTGCCCAGTGGCGTGGAGTAAGTACTCAGTTAAAGGCAGCTGGTGTTATCATCAGATTCCACTTAACTCGCATCTTAACCTCCCAGGCAGCATTTACTCATAGCACAGGCCGCTCGTGACGGTTTTCTGGGCTGGCTTCCTTCCTGAGGCCACATTCAGAGTTCTGCTCCCCCACAGCTCTGCACTTTGGGAAATGCCAGGGAGCAAAGCTGCTCTCATTAGGTGCAGTGTTGAGAGATTCAGCTATGCCAGCTGGTGCCAGGCCCACCCACATGGGCAAGGTGGGGAATAAACAGCGGATGCGGCCTGCATGGGTGTGTGAGTGTCACAAGGGTCCGGCAGATGTCAGAGCTGAGCCGGTCCAGGTGGGGAGTGAATTGGGGAGCTGCCAATTGCTAATGGGAGCGATTATAGCCGGTCTCCCTGTGCTCCCTCGGGGGAAACACCAGCCAACAGCCAACCTGAAAGCTGGCCTGAGACTTCTGCTCAAGTTAATGAAGCAGTTCAAGAAACGAAGATGAAGGCAAAGAACCGGGCTCCTGAGAGAACAGTGACGAATCTGGTCCCACTCTCCACCACCACGGGGTCGGCCAGGTTCACTCACATCCCTCCCCTCCTCCTTGCAGACTTACCTGTCAGTTCTACCCCACCTCCCACAGGTGGGAAGAACAGGTCTCCTTCCCCGTAAATGTGGAGAGTAACAGTCCCTTCACGTTACCCTTTTATTTCTGGGAAATGTGATGTAAAATGATCAGATTAATTTTCTGTATAAGATTTTTTGAAAGAATTATTCCTTTATTGTAAGGTTTTTTTAAGATTTATTTTATTTTTATGCATACAAGAGCTGGGGTACAAGCCAGAGGTGTGGGGTGGGAGGGGGGTGAGAGGATTCACCAGAGACAGAGTGGGGAACAGAACAGGCAGACTGACTGAAATACGCTGCTGAGGGGAGCAGCGGGTGAGGCAGGAGAGGTCTGCTGTGCCATGTGGGTTGCTCCCTGGCCAGGGATTGAACTCGTGCTGCAGTGGCTATGGTTAGCTTCATAGGTTGCGTCTTAACCCCTTGCGCAACCAGGGAGGCCCCTATTGTAAGATTTTTTAAATTTATTTTGCATAGAAAAATTGGGGGCCAGAGGTGCAGGGGGTGAGAGGGGACATCAGAGACAGAGTGGGGAGCAGAACAAGTGGATCTAATGAAATACACTGCTGAGGGGAACAGGAGAGACAGGAGAGGTCTGCTGCACCATATGGGTCAGCTCCCTGGCCAGGGATCAAACTCAGGCCATCGCAGGGGGTCTTCGTAGTAGTAGCATTGAGACTTAAGCCCTAGGCCACCAGGAAGACCCTCTGTATAAGATATTTTAGCTTAATTTCTTTCCAGTCTGAGACCACAAATTAACGAGAAATCAGGGTACCCAACAGAATAAGTCAGTGGTCTGAATAATAGCTTCTTTTTGCAGTGGATTTCCCCAGTCTTCTGTGTACACACACACACACACACACACACACACACATAACCCTTGCTTTAGCCATGACAAAGATGTACCAGGGATGAGAAGCAGGAAGACAGAAAAGACTTTCTCATATAAGTACAAATATCCCACAAGATCTAGAAAAGGGAAGACACAGTCACCAAGCATACAGGAACCAAGAGTTCGAACTCGTGCTGCAGTCTCACCCTCCGCATCTCTGGCCTGTACCCCAGCTCTTGTATGCATAAATAAATAAATCTGTAAAAAAAAAAAAAAAAAAAAAAAACCACCAAGGGTTTACACTAAATAGTCTGCATACGATAGCTGGAAACTGTCAGAAATATAAAGCAACTTACTCCAAGTCGCACAGCCGGTTAAGGGCAGAGTTGGGGTTAAATCTAGATGACCCTCGGCCCAGTGCTCCCACCTGGCTACACTCCCCTTCTCACAAGCCCAGGATGGCAGCAGCTCACAGACCTCCTGGGAGATGGGGGCAAACTAAGCAGGTTCCAAAACAAACTGTATTTACCTGAGCACTCAAGTGCTCTGTGCCCTTGATGAGGTCCATATGGGGACCTACTCTTCTTGTCCTGCTTGAATGGAAACTCAGTGCTCACACCCCTGCAGCCGCAGAAGCTGGAGGAGGAGGGAGAGCTGTCCCTCCTGATCCGCAGCAAAGAGAATCTCAGTGGGGCAGGGCCAGGCCTTCCTAGTACTGAACCAAGGCCCCACTCTTTGACAACCCACACTCTGTTCAACACTGCTGCCCTCTTTCACCTTCACAGCAAGAATAAAGAATAGATTCAAAGGGAACTGCCCCAGGGTGTGTGGAGCTTCACAGATGCTCCCTGTGAAAAGACACAAGCAGGGCCCTTTAGTTCTCAGCTGCGCAGTCCCCACACCCTGACTCTCAGAAAATGAAAGGGAAGCTGGCAGGGAACTAGGGCTGAGGCTGGCAGAGCCTGTGAAGCTTCAGCTTATTGGAAACTACTCTGAGAGTTCTCTGAATATAGACACTCCATGTACCCTGGCTCCGAGCAGCTATACCTGGACTCTGGAAGCTAGGTCTGCCCTAAGCTGCTCCAGGGATGTCTTTGACTGTCGCCACCACCCTCTTGATTAAAGACATCCCAGCTCCTATGTCTCCCTATGGCAGTCCCTGGACTAAGTGCTGGGGTTCAGAGATTTTTTTAAAAAAAAAGCAAGTCCACTATCAGATGAGAAGGAAATAGACATGTAAACACAGCACAACACAGTATCATGAGCAGTGTGAGCAAATTCTGGACAAGGTGGAGAAGAGGTACGAAACAGAAATCAGTTCAGCCTGCATAGGGGCGGGGACAGGAGTGTCCTCATGAAAGATAAGCAGATGTTGGTCAGCAGATAGAAGGCAGAGTCAGGGCAGCAGAGCAGGCCCAGTGGAAGGGAGCTGGACGAACAAAGGACCCAAGGTATGAAATAGCAGGGTGCCTTTTAGGAATCACAAATATTGGGTTGCAGGAAGATGCATGAAAGGCAAAAGGCTGGAGAAATAGGCAGGGGCTAGGTTACAGAGGACCTCATGTGCCAGGAGACCTGGACTGGCTGCATTCTCAGGAAATAGGCAACTCTTGAAATCATGAAATATAACACATAATCATGAAATAAACTCATGAAATATAACATGAACAGACTTGCATTTTTTAAAATTGCTTTGTAGTGGAGGGAAGAAAAATGGAAGCAGAGACTATGTTCCAATTCTGTCAATATTGTGGACTAGAGAATATGAAAACTCGCCACTTTAAAAAAAAAAAAAAACTAGATAGGGCCTCCTGGTGGCACAAGGGATTAAGACACAACCTATGAAGCTACCCACAGCACTGCAGCATGAGTTTGATCCCCGGCCAGGAAGCAACCCACATGGCACAGCAGACCTCTCCTGTCTTGCCTGTGGCTCCCCTCAGCAGTGTATTTCAGTCAATCTGCCTATTCTGCTCCCCACTCTGTCTCTGGTGGGTCCTCTTACCCCCCGCATCTCTGGCCTGCACCCCAGCTCTTGTATGCATAAATAAATAAATCTTTAAAAAAAACTAGATCAAATGTAAGATCCTTTTAAATTCATAATTAACAAAGTAAGAGAAAAACCTGGGGCCATCAATCAAGAGGTCAGAATGGCAAGTAAAAGAAATGATGCTGTAAGTGACCTCAGGTATATAGTCCATCTCAGTAAGCCAAATTGTCTACCATGGTGGGGACTAACTACGAGCAGCTGTCTAATATTAATTGAAATAAATTAAATTTAGAATTCAATTCCTCCATCTCAGTGGCCCCCTTTCAAGTGCTTAAAAGCATATTTCTTCTCCTTTATTCTAA